GTGTAACCTGTCTGTCATACATTGCATGATGGAGTGGGAGGAATAGAAAATTTACTTGACTGTCCCTTGCTTACTTCCCCTCATCCCACCCTCTGCAATCAAATAATGTTCAGGAAAAGGGGAGGTCTTCATGGAAAGGGGGGTGTAGGGAGGCAAGATGGGTCAGAAAATAAAAATTCTAAGTATGTAGGGCCCTCTGCCTCCCTCTGGGAGCCTGGGGCTTCCATTCCCTCTAGATGAACAGACTGAGACAAAAGAAGAGGACAATGTCTTGCTGATGCATTCCCTATTGGCGGCAACCAAAGACCCATCTGTTGCCAACCGGCCTAAGAAAAGCAAGACCAAGAAGACCCCTGTTAAGGCTGTTGCTAAGTCCACACCTGCTGCCCCTCCAGTCCCATCAGTCACTGAGATTGCCACCAAGCCCAAAATAAGTTTGCAGGGTTTAAACCTACCAATCTTCTCCCAGATCAGCCAGGCTTCAGCTACTAGTGAGGTAACCAATATTCAGGCTTCTTCAAGTACTGCTCCACCTAAGAAAACCAACAAGATGAAGAGAATTGCTGCCAAGGCAGCCCTAGTCTCCCAGTGTTGCCTTTCAGGCAGTGAGGGTGTCACTGCCCAGGTGAAGTCACCTTTGCAGGCCCCAAACCTCCCAGTTATCTCACAGACTATCCAGGCTCCAATTGCCAATGAGTCAGCCAATTCCTCGGCCTTTATAGCCTCCACCAAGCCTAAGAAAACTTCCAAGGCTAAGAAGGCTGCTAATAAGGCTCTAGGTAATGCTACTGAGATCTCACTAGCTATAGCTGCCAACCATACAGCTACTGCCCATGGCCAAATTACCAATGAGACAGCCAATGTCCAGGCCACAGCACCCACTGTCAGAACCAAGAAAGCTTCCAAAGCCAAGAGGACTACTGTTAAGCCTACAAATACTGACACTGAGCATCTTGAGCCCCCAAATGCCACTGAGACAGCTACCAGGCAGATTGAGAACTCAGCAACAGCTCTGCGGCCCAAAAAATCTAAGGGCAAGAAGGTTGTTAGCAAGTCCCCAAATGCTGCTTTTGAGGTCTCTGAGGCTATACCTGCCAATCCAGTGGTTACAAACCAAATGCTAGCAGCCAGCCTTCAGGTCAAGAGAGGGTCTAGGGCTCGAAAGACTGTCACAAAGCCTCAGGTAACTGAAAGTGAGACCCAAATTGCTGAACAAGGGAGTCAGGCCAAGATGGCCACCTCTCAGACCAGCATAAATGCCCTTGAGACTCAGGTTGCTATTGCTGTCCAGGCACTGGCAGATGACTATCTGGCTCAGTTGAGTCTGGAACCCACAACTAGGACCAGAGGCAAGAGGAACCGAAAGGTGAGCTATCTGACAGTATTCTTAACTTTTGTGCTTTTCTATTCCTATCTGTTTAGGTTTTTATTTCTTCTATAAACCTTTACTGAGCCTTTTACTTTGAGCTATTGCCTTTGTTCAGATAAACATGCGGAGATGCCAAGAAGAGTGTGATATAATTTCTGTTTCCAGCATTTCACAGATTGTTGGGGTAATAAGACCTCTAAGTACTTAGATACAACCTGTATGTAATATACCTTGAATGTACATAGTAGATATCATGTGCCAGGCTTGTTGGGTACATTTACATGTTATCCCTCTGTCTTTAAAGTAACTGTTACTAGAGATCATAGGTTACAGTTATATAGATGAGAAGATAAGAGTTCCAGAGAAGTGACATGACATGCTTAGTTATAGCTCGCAAAGTTCAGTGGTACCTAAGGAAGATGAAGGATCCTATATTCTGCCCTTTCATTGTTCCTGCCCTAGCAGGGGAATGAGGCTCCTATATGGAAGATAGTGAAAGAAAAGCCTGGGACTTAGTGCAGCCAGTGGCAGGGTCAAGACCTACTATAAGGGGTGTTGGAGGAACTGTTTGTAGGACAGAATGAGACAACAATCTTTTTCACCTGGTGATTCTGTACCTTCCTTCTTTATGATGATGAAGTCCAAGCATCTGAATGGTGATGAGAGAAGTGGCATTAATTACAGGAGAATTCCATGGGGCCGAAGGCTTCCACCACCCCGAGATGTGGCCATTTTGCAAGAAAGGGTAAGAATGCAATGCTTTTCAGTCTCTTGTCTTCCTTTGCTGTCTTTTCTTCTATCCTTCCAAGTTTTCTGCAAATATATTGATTTCCTCATTTGTTCCTCTTCTCCCAGGCAAATAAGTTGGTGAAATACCTCTTGGTTAAGGACCAGACAAAGATCCCCATCAAGCGTTCAGGTAGTCTCTTAACCTTCCACCTCAAACTATTCTTTCTTCTCTCTCCAGGCCTGGAGGTAACCCTTTACCTATATGGCCTTTTTCTTCTATCATATCTCCATCTCTCCCCTTCTTATACTTCATTATGGCTATCACAATCCATTAATCTAGTTGCACTGACTCCACAGAGCTGGCAAAAGGGGTAGAGCTCTGTGGCCCCTGCTCAGCCCAGTTGCTCTCACCTCTCGCTTCCTGCAGACATGCTGAAAGATGTCATCCAAGAATATGATGAATATTTCCCAGAGATCATTGAAAGAGCAAGCTACGCTCTGGAGAAGGTAAAGGGACATCTTGGGGGTGGATGCATTGGGAAATCCTTGAGTGGAACAAAGGTGAGCAATATTCCTTCTGGGGGTAACAACAGACCTGCTAATACAGACCTATCATTGTGCAGATCAGCAGACAGTGGCCTAGGGAGAGGCCTGCAATAGCCATTGGTTTATACAGTATCTCAGTGGTAAAAGCTTAACTAGGACCCAAACCACCCAATTTAGTCCTGGCTTCTGTCTGCTGCTGTATACATTTTGTCATGTACTTGAAATGCTCATCTGTTCATCACCTTACATTTGTAGGAGTATACTTGTTGCATATTGGCTGTGTTCTGGACAGTTATCAATTTTTCATGTATTACCTCACTGATGTTTCATGTATGCAAAACCCCAAGGCACATGGGGAGCTGCAGGATACCTGGAAAGCTGTTTGATTCTTATGCTGAATTTTGTGATCTTACAAGTTATTCTTTTATTTGGCAGATGTTTCGGATCAATCTGAAGGAAATCGATAAGCAAAGTAGCTTGTATATTCTTATCAGTACTCGGGAATCCTCTGCAGGCATACTGGGAACGTAAGCTGGGAAAGGGTTAAGGTGGAAGGGGGACTTCTGCTTTCATCCATGGTACCGCCCTTGTCCACTCTCCTGACATTCTTTTAGAGAGTCAGGAAAGACAGGGACTAAAAACTCCTGACACAGCTCTTGCTCATGGTTGGAGAAGTAGTCTTGCCTGATTAGGATTAAATGAGAGGTTGTAGGAGGCTGGAGTGGGACATTTCTGTTGTCATGTTAGCTATCTGTCTAGAAACTTCCCTGGACAGTATATCTGTTATCTCTTCAACTGAGTCCCTAACCTAGCTTTGGTAGAGAGATTCTTGAGTGTCTCAAGGGAGGTTGTGGGATCATTATGCTCAAAAGACAAGAAAGGCTTTCCTCTGCATACATTTTTGTGTAGTGCTTACTCTACTACCTCTGGAGAGTTAGAAAAGGAAAAATGCTATCCTTGACCTGCAGAAGTAGATATTCTAACTTGGAAAGAATTCACTGCTAGAAGATAGCAAGCAAATAGTCCAACCAAGTAGTGACTTAAGAATATAGTCATAGTTGACACGTGAAGTAAGACTAGCAGAATCACCATAGGTTCATGTCAAAGAGACTACATTAGCTGCACCTCTTTACTGTCTAGATATGGGTATAATAGAGGGATCTGGGAATTTTCCCAAGTTAATGGGGAGTGTTATCACTGGGGCACTGAACTGTCACAGGGCTGAGGGCTCTGAGAAAGGACTCACCCAGGCATTTTTACATCTTCTTGGCAATTCAGGACTTGGGTAGAATGATATGTCTTCCCACCTTACTGAGTAGGAGACTGTGGCTCATGACTCTTCAGTGCCTCACCTGGGGTCATGTAGAACTGGAATCATGGATTGGGCAGAATTCTCCCACATTTGAGATATGTGGGAAAGATTTAGCCCAGTCAACTGTCTGGTATGTCTTGCAGGTGGCTCCTGGACATAAAATTTTTCTCTGTCCTATTATTCTCTTAGGACAAAGGATACACCCAAGCTGGGTCTCCTCATGGTGATTCTGAGCGTCATTTTTATGAATGGCAACAAGGCCAGTGAGGGTGAGTGGCTAGGCACGAAACCAAATGGGTAGCCAGAGTCTGAATTCCACGTGCTCATTTTCTGTCCCTGTCTCCTCTTGCCTCCCCTTGTAGCTGTCATCTGGGAGGTGCTGCGCAAGTTGGGGCTGCACCCTGGGTATGATTGGGCTCTCTCAGCGCTTGCTGTCCATGTTGTCCTTTGGCAAGAGAGAACGGTCCCAGGATTGCATCAGCCTGGTGGTCTGGTGGTGCAGGCGGGAGTTGCTGGCTGGGTGGATGGGGAAATTGTTTTGAACTCTGTGCTTTTTCTCTGTCCTCTGTTCTGAGATGTAAGAAAGACCTTCAGGAGTCCCTGACAAAGAACCATCTGGACTCCACTGCTTGCTTTCAGTGACTGTGCTCAACTACGTTCTTCACTTTGTTGAGACTCCCTATGTGCTAGAGGTCTCTTCCATGTTAGGAAATGGCTCTCCTCTCATCTAGGCAGTCCTAGATTCTGTGTGCAGTTCTCTGTTCATAGGTTATCTTTCTCATTGCCAGGGTGAGGCACTCCCTTTTTGGGGAAGTGAGGAAACTCATCACAGACGAGTTTGTGAAACAAAAGTAAGTGATGTTTGGAGGCTTTATCCGGCCCTGAAGTATTCTGGGTGTGATGGTTTGCTTCAGAAACTGCTTCATTACTGCCTTTCTTATATTTTTTAGGGATGGGCAACTGTGTCCTAGTAAGTTCAGTCCAAAATTCCTGTGGATGCACCTGTTTAGGACTGGGCCAGATCAAACATAGTGCCCTTGGGATGGGGTATGCTCAGATCAAGCAGCTTTAAGACGGGCTCCTTTGTTTACAACACATCCAAGAGGAATCTTTGTTTACTCCCCACAGGTGGCAGGATATACTAGTCTTCCTGTGACATCATGTCCTATATATGTTCTCCAAGTAACTAATTTCCACAGGGCCAATAGGAAATGATACAGTGGTAGAAGCCAAGAACATAATCTATGTATAGGAATTGAGTGTGGGGCTGGAAGGGCTTAGAAAATATTTCTCCAGAAATTGGTATTTTGTTATAGGAGCCTGCCATTTGGGGGTTCATAGTTAAATGACAGGTCTGTTTGGTCAGAACAACATTTGTTTTCTTTCTCCAAGGTACTTGGAATACAAAAGGGTCCCCAACAGCAGACCACCTGAATACGAGTTCTTCTGGGGCCTGCGCTCATACCATGAGACTAGCAAGATGAAAGTCCTCAAGTTTGCCTGCAAGGTAATAGAGCTGCCTAAACTTGGCATATTAGGGGAATAGAACATCCCTGGATGAAGCAGGGTATGTATAATGATAGAAAAATACAGACCAACTGGTAGTGCATACATAAAAAGCTTCAATGATGTCCCAGAATGCTGATACTTATAGTTTACATGTTATCATTCATTCTTAACAGTATGTATTAACATGTTTCTACTGGCTTGAAACAATGGTGGTTCAAACTGCCTAGCAGTGAGACATATGAATTATGGCCCATCAGTAATGTGTTAATTATCGCAGGCTACCATAATAAAATACCACAAACTTGGTTGCTTATAAAACAGAAATTTAGGGCTGGTGAGATGGCTCAGTGGTCTAAAGCACCTACTTAGAACAAGCTTTAGCAAAAACCCAGGGACCACAGTTCGATCCCCCAGCACCACATGCCAGCCAGCCAGCCCCCTGGTGGGCTGAGCTGGCCACACACACACACACACACACACACACACATAAATAAATAAAATTAAAAAAAAAACAGAAATTTATTTTTCCACATTTCTGGATGCTGAGAATCCCAGATCAAGGGCCAACATGGTAGGTTTCTGATGACAGGTTGCTCATGAGGGCTGTCTTCCTGGCTTACAGACAAATGCCTTCTAATTGTGTCATCATAGGGCAGAAAGCCCTGACTCTCTGGAAACCTACTGGATCAGGCCTTATTCTTAGGACCTGATGTAACTGAACTTGACTTCCATAAAGGACCTATCTCCAAAACAGTCACTTTCAGGGTTAGATATTCAACAAACAAATTTTGTAGAGACACATATAATCAGTCCATAACATAGTTTATCTCTTTATATCTCTTAATTTTTATTTTTTTATTACTACATATTTGCAGTACATATGTCTATATTCCTCATGAGGAATTAGTACATGTATGTAACACATCTTAAATTATTTTTATATCCCCTTTTTCCCTTTTCTAACCATCTCCCATATTATGAAGACATTTGGGCTCACTGACATTAAGTGATTTATCCAAGGTCATACCACATATCAGTTATCAGAGCTGAAATTAGATCTGAGGACTGTTCCAGGATAAAGTCTCAATAAGTAAGACATTTTTTAGAATTATTACTCTCAATAGGTGTTTCACACATAATTAAGGGTTATTTTTTTGTATAATGATTATAATTTCCAATTCAGGTACAGAAGAAAGACCCCAAGGACTGGGCTACTCAGTATCGGGAAGCAGTGGAGATGGAAGTTCAAGCTGCAGCTGTGGCTGTGGCTGAAGCTGAGGCCAGGGCTGAGGCAAGAGCCCAAATGGGGATTGGAGAGGAAGCTGTGGCTGGGCCCTGGAACTGGGATGACATGGATATTGACTGCCTGACAAGGGAAGAGTTAGGTGATGACACTCAGGCATGGAACAGCTTTTCATTTGAAATTGAAGCTAGAGCCCAAGAAAACGCAGATGCCACCACCAATGTCAACTTCAACCAAGAAACTAGTACCAGGGATAGCTTCAGTGATGGTGCTAGTATTAGCTTCAATGATACACCCGGCTCCAGTGGTGGCTTTGGTGGTGGAGGTGGTATCACTTTTGGTGATACACCCAGCACTAGTGCAAGCTTTAGCAGTGCAGCCAGCATTAGTTTTGGTAGTGCACCTAGTACCAGTGCCAGCTTCAGCAGTGGATCCAGCATTAGTTTTGGTAGTGCATCCAGCACTAGCACTAGTTTCAGTGGTGGAGCCAGCATCAACTTTAGTGGCACACCCAGTACCAGTGCCAATTTCTGTAGTACAGCCAGCATTACTTTTGGTGGTACACCCAGTACTATTACCAGTTTCAGTGGTGGAGCAAGCATTAGCTTCGGTGGTGCACCCAACACTAGCACTAGTTTCAGCAGTACAGCCAGCATCAGCTTTGGTGGTACATCCAATGCTAACACTAGTTTCAGTGGTGGAGCTAGCATTAGCTTTGGTGGTGCACCCAACATGAGTGCTAATTTCAGTAGTGGATCAAACATTAGCTTTGGTGGTTCACTGAACACCAGCACTAGTTTCAGTAGTGGAGCGAGCATTAGTTTTGATGGTACACCTTGTACCAGTGCCAGTTTTAGTGCTGGAGCCAGCTCTAGCTTTGGAGACACACTCAACAACACAACAGCTGGCTTTAGTGGTGCACTTAGTACCAGTACTAGCTTTGGCAGTACATCTACCACTAACACTGTCTTCAGTGGTGCCCTTAACACCAGCACTGGTTTTGGAGGCACACTTAGCACAAGTGTATGCTTTGGTGGCTCCCCTGCCTCTGGTTCCAGCTTTGGAGGCACACTCAGTACGAGTATCTGCTTTGGTGGTTATCCTAGCACCAGCATACTTAGTACCAGTGTCTCCTTTGGTGGTTCTTCTAGTACCACTTCTGACTTTGGTGGCACACTAAGCACTAGCATCTGCTTTGGTGGTTCTCCCAGCACAAGTGCCAGCTTTGGTGGTGCCCTAAATAGCAGTGCTGGCTTTGGTGGTGCAATCAGCACCAGTGCTGCCTTTGGTGATGCTGTAAACACCAGTGCCAGCTTTGGCACTACACTCAGCACTGCTGACTTTGGCAGTGCCATCAGCACTGGTGTCAGCTTTAGCGGTGCATTCAGTAGTAGTGATGGCTTTAGTGGGGCCATCAATACAAGTGCTGGCTTTGATGGTGCTGTCAGCACTAGTACCGGCTTTGGTAGTGCACTCAATAGCAGTGCTAGCTTCGGCAGTGTCATCAGCACCAGTGCCAGCTTTGCTGGTGCACTCAATAGCAGTTCTGGCTTTAGCAGTGCACTTAGTACCAGTACTAGCTTTGGAAATGCTCTCAGCACTAGTGCCAGCTTTGATGGAGTTCTCAACACCAGTGCTGGATTTGGTGGAGCTGTCAGCACCACTGCTGGCTTCAGTGGTGTACCAAGCACTAACCCTGGCTTTGGCAGTACATTCAGCACCAGTACTGGCTTCAGTGGGGCACTTAGTACCATGACTAATTTTGGTGGTACTTCCAACAGCAGCATTGGCTTTGGTAGTGCTCCCAGCACCAGTGTCAACTTTGATGGTGCTCATAGCACCAGCCTGTGTTTTGGTGGAGCTCCCAGCACCAGCCTCTGCTTTGGCAGTGCATCTAACACAAACCTATGTTTTAGTGGCTCTCCTAGCACCAGTGTCAATTTTAATGATGGACCAAGTACCAGTGCTGGTTTTAGTTTTGGTAATGGGTTAAGTACCAGTACTGGATTTGGAGGGGGACTGAGCACGAGTGCTGGCTTTGGTGGCAGCCTAAGTACTACCACTGGCTTCAGTGGCAGTTTAGGAACCAGCACTAGCTTTGTCAATGGCCTAGGCACCAATACTAACTTTAGTGGTGGACTAGGTACCAGTGCTGATTTTGGTGATGGACTAGGCACCATTGCTGGCTTTGGTGGCAGACTAGGCACTGGTGCTAGCTTTGGTGGTGGACTAGGCACCAGTACTGGCTTTGGTGGGGGACTTGTCACTACTGATGGCTTTGGTTGTGGACTGGGTACCAGTGCTGGTTTTGGCAGCACACTTGGGACTTGTACAGGCTTTAGTGGTGGCCTTAGCACCAGCAATGGCTTTGGCAGTGGGCCTAATGTCAGCTTTGACAGAGGACTAAGTACAATCATTGGCTTTGGCAGTGGTTCTAACACTAGTGCTGGCTTTCCTGGTGAACCCAGCACTGGTGCCAGTTTCAGTAGTGGACCAAGTTCTGTTGTTGGCTTCAATGGCGGACCAAGCACCGGTGCTGGCTTCTGCAGTGAACAAAGCATTGGTGGCTATGGTGGTGGACTGAACACTGGAGCTAGCTCTGTTGGATCAAGCACTGGAGCTGGCTTTGGTGGAGGACTGAGCACCAGTATTGGCTTCAGTAGTGGACCAAGCAGCAGTGCTGGCTTCGGCAGTGGACTGAACACCAGTGCAGGATTCAGCGGTGGACCGAGTACCAGTTCTGGATTCAGCGGTGGACCAAGCACTGGTGCTGGCTTTGGTGGTGGCGCCACTAATCTTGGTGCCTGTGGCTTCTCTTACAGCTAGTAAGATTTCAGGTAATTGCAATGTTTTCATAGCAAAAGCCCATGGGAACGGGTATAATATTCAGAGATATAAGAAATAATCCTGGGTTGGGAGGGCTGAATGGAAAGATGTATGATGAAGGAAGTATGAGAAAAGAGTACATTTGGTGCTAAGATGTGTTCTGGTCTGGTGTTTTGTTTTTAGGTTTAATGTTTATATATGTCACTAGTGAACTGCAGCATTCCTTCCCATGGAGCCAATGTACAGCCTTGAAATCTGTCCACACAGCAGTCTGAGCAGCCACTACCAATCAGCCAAGGGTGACACGCTTTGAAAAATCTGTTTTCTCTTCTTGCTCTATTGTTCGCTTTTTGTGTGCTGTCATATTTTGGTATCAGAGTTACATTAAATTTACAAAATGAATTGAAGTTGTTTTTTGTCTTTTAATGTGATTAGGTAGTCATCAGTGACATTTTGGGTTTATAAAAGAGCTAGAGATCACTATAGCTGTTGGAGAATATGGCTCTCCAGCTTGAATCTAAAAAGCAGAAATTTCTTCAGTGAAAGAGATGCCTGGGAAAGTCTGGGATAGAAGGTAATAGGAGAGAGTTTAGGATAGTATGTATAGATTCATTGAGTAATTTGTCTAAACATGGAGGAGCAGAGGGGAACTATTGAGGTAGACATGGGGAAAAGGGAAGGTTTTCTTGGAATAGGAGAGGAAGACTTGTGTATACTGTGTAGACTATGGGGCCAAGGCCATTAAAGCAGGCCAAGAGGTAGATATAGAAGAGTAAGGAATTGACTGATGTAGTACGAGAAGGTGGGATGGGATAGGATGGTAGAGAATAGATGAAGACTCTGGATTTCAGCAGGATTTAGGAGTAATTGTGGAAATAAATATAGATTACTTCAAGCACTGATTGGCAGACCTGTAATAGAACCCGTCAAAATGCAAGACATGGATTATTCAAGGTTTGGATCTTGCGGGTGGTTTTTTTTTTGGCGGTACTGAGGATTGAACTCAGGACCTTGTGCTTGGCAGACAAGTGCTTAATTCTACTGAGCTATCTTCTTGGCCTATTAAAATTGAGAAGGATTTTTTTTTTTGGCTGGCTCAGGCTGCCTGAAGGGTGAGTCTGGTAAGGCAAGTGGAGCTGGGGATTGAACCACGGTTCCCTACACCTCACTGGGGTGGCCCAAGCAGGTGCTTAAACAAGTGAGCTAACCCACAAGCCCCCTAAGGTTTGGATCTTGGTGGGTGGCTATGAAGAAAGGACAAAACAACCACAGCAACCCTGTGAGTATTTTTATCACTGGGTCACTGGTACCTGACCTGACCTATAGTTGGCAAATGGAGAATGACTGAAGAGGTACACCATAGTATCCAAAGTGATTAAGGATGGAGGAACACTGAGGAAGCAGAAGATGGATTGGGAGATAATGCAGAAGTCTGAACAACTATACTCCTGATATTGTAAAAGAAGAAATACTGTTCATTAAAGAAATACTACATGCATGAGTACCTTTGTAAAAAACTTTTGGTTAAGCGTGAGATGTTTGTGTTCAAAGTCAGGCCAGAAACATGATGCCAAGATCTGTAAAAAATAGGAAAATGATTATATAATTGAGGTTAGGGGACTGGGAGGCCAGGTTTTTGGTTGGGTCATTCAAATGGAAAGTGAAATCAAGACAGCAATAACAGTTGCAAAAGAGAACTTGGTATAGGTGTCAGATTGTCTAAGTATAAGGATGCAGGCGTCCTGCCCTCATTCACTTTGACTGTCAAGCAATCTTCTCCCTCATCTTTTGAAGTGCTACTCACTTCTCTGGAAAGCTCTCTCCCATTCCACATCTGTAGCACCAAAGCTAGGCCAAGATCAGAATCAGAATCTTGAAAACAATGAGATAAACCTAAATGTGACTTTTTCCTGTCCTTGTATAAACAGTAAGAGAAGTCTTCTGATCAGAGAATAATTAAGAAAGTGTTTCATCCAGAGCTATGCAACTTCCAATTTGTGGTTAAAAATTGAGACCTGCCTTGGAGTTGCTAAGGATTTCTTAACTAGAGGTAACGCTCTCCCAGTAAGGCAAAGGCCAGCATCTTTTTAGGGTAGGATAAAAGATTAAAAAGCTCATAAAGGAGGAAGACGGTGAGGGCAGGTATTCTGACGCTTGGAAAGAGGTCAGTAATGGGCAGGGACAGTGTCCAGAGCTTCCTCAGGTTCCCGGGTGATGTCCACATTCTGAGAAGAGAGAACCCTTGATTAATAGAAAGGAGATGAAAGTACAGCATCCCAGTCACTGAGTTTCCTGTTGTCTTATCAGGCACCCATATTTTAGTTAGTCTGACTCTTGTCAGGCAGAACTGGGGGGAGTCTGAACCTGAAGCCTTTCAGGCAAGGATTATCCTAGCTCTATTCCTTTGTGGTGCTCCAGGCCTAGGCTGTGGTTCCTGAATTTCTGGATACTGTTTATTCTTCCCATTGATGTGAAACACTTGGGATCTATAAGGATCTGGCCTTTTTGTGGGGGAAGATGTTTTTATCATGTGTTCACAGCCAACTTGTATACAGAGTCCCTCACCTACCTCAGGCTTCTCCCGGTGTGTGTTCACAGCCTCTACATTCAGGTAGATGGACTCCACTTTGCAGCCTTGGAAAAGAATAACTCATGAATGTATGAGCCCCAAGGTAAGCATAGGTCTTCTCATCATAATTCCACACCCAAGTTCTATATTGTGCAGTTTGTGTCTGCCCATAGGGAAGAGATTGCAGGTGAGCTGTGTGATGTGTGGGGAAGATACTAGGGTTAAGAAACAGCCAATGGAGTATTATCCCAGCTCCGCCCTGACTTCTCGGAGATTTAGCTGCTTAGTTGTACATGGAGAAAGTGATGAGTTGATTTCTGGGGCCTTCAACTCTCATGGCCTGCAAGACAGTGATCAATTCTAAGACTGTTAGAACTCTGGATGCTCCAAATTATTCTAGATGGAGGACAGGTGGAAGAGCCCTAGGCTACTGCCCTAGCCAATGAGGTTTTATTTAGAGGACAGTATGATTCCAGCAACATCAGAAGTATGGAGGCTACAAAGGAGTTCTAAGAAGCCTTAGGAAGGAGCATTTATCATTGGGGTTTGAGGCTTGCAGAAGAGACCTTAATGCTTATTGAAATCCCTTTAGATCTATCCCTATAGATTATACTCAGTGCAGACTTCAGTAGGCCTGCCCTAATTATATATCATACTAGATTTCATTCTGGTCTTTCTCTATTCATGAACGTTTCATAGGTAACTAATGTCATGAGAGACTCTAAACCACCTAGATTGGTCTTTGGCCAATATGGACCCAATCTACAGTTTTCCTCTAGTCTCTTAGGGCTCCCTCCTCAACTGCTTAATATTTTGTACTCAATGCTATGGTAGAGACAGAAAGTTGGAGCCAAGCCATCTGAAAATCCCAGTTCTTTCCTGTTATCCTACTGTCACAAGTCCCATTTTCACCATCTAACCACCTACCCAGGGAACTTCTTTTAGGCCTCTACTTGGCAAATGGCATGTTCATGGCATTAATAAATCCTAGATGAGGTTGGGGGTACTCACCATAAGCCACAGGAGTGAGTTTAAGCACTGTGTGCAGAGGGCACTTGAGATAGGGCAGCTCCTCTGGAAAAGAAGAATCAGAGACACAGTACTGGAAAGGGCACTACTGCCCCAGCGTCTAGTCTTGGTAAGTACTGCCCCCTTCCACCTCATCTTTCCCAAAGGGGCCTCACCGGAGACCCACATACTATAGTCTGCAGCAGGCAGTGCTAAAAGCAACATGGGAGAAATCCAGCCAGGTTGACCTAGGAGCAGGAAGGAAAGATCTTGAGAGTGATTGGCAAACTGAAGGCCATGGAAGGGCCAGGGGGGTCATGTGGAAATGGCTACCTCTGCATTCTCAAGTCCAACAGGAGGCCAAGACAGGCTTCCCTCCAACCCCAGCCCAGGCCTTCCACAGATTCCACCACTACCACCACCACCACCACCACCACCACGAAGGCCTCAAAATTCCTGTTAAGTATTTATTGAGAATATTATATAAGCCAGTTCCATAGCAGAAGTTCATATGATATGTGACCACATCTATAGCATTGTCTCTAACCCAGGGTAACTTTATTTAACCCCTCTCTCACTTATGCATGGACAAGCATTGGTTAATTTACTCTTTTCCAGTTATTGATGGGTATGCAGAAAGTTGTTGTTTTCCATAATCATGCACAATTTCCTGTCTAGTCCGGTTGTCCCATTGATTTAACAGGTAGCCTTGAGAGGAGAGGGGTGATTAGGCCCAATTTATGGATGAGGAAGCTGGGACTTGGAGAGGAAAGGCATTGGTTCAAAGTTATATTGTCAAAAAGTGGCAGTACAGGGACTCTTCACAAAGGATTTTCTGAGGACAAGATGCCTGTTCCACTTTTACAGTGGAAAGGTGTTGCCATGAAGGTATTGTAATGTCCTAGTGGGGGGGTTAATAGGCCTACCTACTGGGCATTTTTTCCTTATTCTCTCTCCTATCCACACTGCATATAAATTACTATTTATCCTAATTTAGGTAGAATATCACTTGTTGTGGCTTTCTGCCCTTTACACTCATTCTAGGCTTTCCAAGCTTGCCATCAGCCTCTCTTCCTCTTGAAACATGAACATTCTTCTAGGCATCCATCCTGCTTCTCCTCATCTTTGTCATCATTAGCATCAGGCCTAGGCAAAGGGCTGCCTGTGTACGATCCCAGTGCATCTTCACAGAAGTGCTGTGGCGCTACCTATTCTTATTGTCCACATGAGGAAAGAGACTCAGGGAAAGGAAAGCAACTTTTTGAGATCTCTGACATAGCCTTCCTGCTGCCTCAACTATTAACCTTGGCCCAGCCATTCTGAGTTTCACATCACTGGCTTTTACGCTATAGGACAGGATGAAACTAGGTGTTCTCTGAGAGTGTTCTAGTTCTTGTGTGTGTCTACATTTCCAATCACATAATCTCTCTGGCCCTAGTGTCATTATTCACCTAAATAATGGGGTGAGTATCTTTCCAATCCCACCTTGCCTTGTTCCAGGGACAGTTGTGAACAGCTGGGATGGCCTGTGTCTAAAAATGAGCAGGAAGTGAAGAAAGAGGAAAGTACCTTTTCCCTCTCTATACTCCATGAATATTTGAAAGGGCAGGCATATACCTTAGATCTACTCTGATCCCTTATACTCTGAGCCCATCACTTTCGGCAAGTAACTTCACTTCTCTGGGCCTTAACGTTTTTGTCTGGATAATGTAAATTTTAGTGCCTGCCTCATGGTATCAAAAATTGTCCTGAGAAGTAGAAATGTAAACAAAAAAGAAATCTGGCAGTACAAAAATTCTACCACACATCCCATCACTGATTCCCAGTAGAGAAATTGAAGACACAGGAAGAGAAAATGATGGATCCAATGGCATATCCTCAATTGCCCTGGGTTTCAATTCTGGATAACTCCATATTATAAATGCTCTTTATTTTGAAAATAGCATCATAGAGTTTGAACTCAAGTGGTCAAAATATTGTAGGCACTGAATATCATTTTTCATTGTCCTCAGATGCCTTTAAAATAACCTAGAAATGGCAATAGTTTCGCCAGTCCATTAAAAATGGACTTTCATATGTGAAACTGAGACAATAGTCCCTTTGCTAGGCTACCTGTCCTAGTTTGAAGTTTACTGTATATAGTCTGTACACAGATACTCTATAAATACAATGCCTAGATATTTTTAAATGATTTGAAAAAAAACTCAAGTCAAACATCACTATCTTGCAGATATCAACCCCAGAGTAAAGACAAACATATACTTAGGAAAGGAGGCTACAGAAGAGTCTACTATCACCTCAGGACAAATTCAGGGAAATACTAACTCAGCATGTTACACTGAGGCAGGCTATCAATGCTGGCTTTGAAAATATTAGCTCAGAATAATACTAATTCCAGGGGCCGGGGAGATAGCTCAGTAGAATAAGCGCTTGCCTGGCAAGTGCAAGGGCCTGAGTTCAATCCCCGGTTCCGCAAAAAACAAAACAAACAAACAAACAAAATAATACTAACGCTAATAGTAGTAGCTAACACTTAGCCCATATGATGTACTATGAACTGTCCTAAGCTCTTTAGATATGTCATTTGAGTTTCACCATTCTCCAAGTTTTACAGATGGGAAACAAAAGCCAGAAGGACTGTAGCACATTGTCAAAGGTAGCATATAAGAAAGAAATTGAACTTAAACAATCTCATTGTATATAGTGTGCTTTTTTTTGAGATGGGGTCTTTCTGTCTACTGCAGGCTGGCCTGGGCTTGCTCTTAAGCCATGGTGCACCTGGAAATTGTGACCTTCCTGCCTCAGCTTCCCAAGTACTGGGATTATAACACTGTGCCATCATACCTGACTCATAGTGTATATTAGATTTCTAACCACTCAGATATAAACTTCTGTTAGTTTCAGGATGTTAAATAACATCCAGTACCCCATGTTAGATAGAACAGTGAGGAGAGTGTTACCTGAACTTTTATCCAGGAAGTATGCCAGGAGGCATCGCATGACAGCCTGGTGGCAGATCACTAGTACATTCTCCTGTCGTTCTAACTCCATTATAACTGGTTCCAGACGCTGAACCAGATCTTCATAGGACTAGATATGAGAAAAATACTAGAGTAAGAAAGGGAAATGGGGAGAGGAAGAATTCGGGCCTAGGAATCAGGAAAACTTGGTTCTGACAGCAGTTGAGTTGTTGACTCAGGAGACAATTCACTTCTTTCTTACAGTCTCAGTTTCTCAATTGTTAAACAGGTTTTTGAAACTAGCAGTTAATTGGTAGGATTCTTAACCTGGCTAACTATATATGCTCATACCTGTGAACCAAGCAACTGCACTGAACATAGCAATGTGTAATAGAAGGTTCACATTTGGAATGCCTGTCATTCTGGTCTTCTAAATACATACTTCTTGTCATGACATACCAATTATTACCATGCTATCTCACAAGTAAAAGGTTTTTTTATTTTTTATTTTTCAACAAATAATACACTGCATATAATCTTCTTAGTGGTTAATTGCTGTACAAGATGCGGACTTGTGATCCTATTTACAAACACCATTAGAACAAATCATTCTATTAATTAACAGAAT